AGAAAAATGGGGAAAAGAGAAGGAAGGAGAGAAAGAAAGAAGAGAAAGAGGGAGGGAGGGTTGGCCACAGCAACGCATGGCGGGTACTGCTAGAGTGTGTGTGTGTGTGTGTGTGCATGCTTTGGCTAGCACAGGAAGGGTTAACACCCCTGTGGAGATTGTTTTGCTGTTTGTGCCCCTGTTCAGAAGATTTCGCCTCCTTTTCTGTAATAATTGCATTTCAAAAAATTTGGCTTGTTGTGGAAACAAGGATCGGTGATAAAGCTCCAGTTGAGACACTTTCCCCCATGATAACTCTTCCAGAAGTGGATTTTCCTCCCTCGGGGTATTTTTCTTTCGCTTCCTATTTTCTCACTCCCGTTCTTAACTATGAGTTGTTTGTAAGTTAGATGTTTGTAACTTGGGGACTGGCTGGCTTCCTATTTTAAAAGCACTGTACTTCTTCAATTGTAAGTCATGCTTTCCCCCCACCCATAGCAACATCTCTAAAAACAGGCTACTTTTTTCTGTTGGTGGTACTCAAATTAATTAGCATCTTGCAATCAATGGTGTCTAAGGCCCCTTCCACACAGCTGAATAAAATCAAACATTTTCTGCTTAGAACTGAGATATTTGGAAGTGCAGATTCAGATAATCCAGTTCAAAGCAGATATTGTGGGATTTTCTGCCTTGATATTCTGTTTTATATGGCTGTGTAGAAGGGCCCTTAGAATCGAAGAAATATGGTACTTCTGTTTACTTTCATGGGATGCAAATTATTATCAATGCTTGAATTACCTAAGGAAAAAATGAAGGCGCATGAGTAAAATCTTATCCTATGGCTTAAATTTTAGCCAAATTACCTAATTCCAAAAGAAGAATGGGGCAGGTTAAGCAAGCCCTCTGTATTGTTCCCCTCAAAAATAAATCAAGCATTGAATTACATATATTTAATATGGATTACTCCAACCCTACTTACATCCTTAGGATTTTTTAAAGTAATAATCCTGAGTAATTTAAGAATGGCAAAAGAACTGATATCATATAATGTTTACAGCGATACTTCTCATTAGATTTTAGGATGTGTGACTGTGCATTTGTATACAGGTCCACTCAAATGTGAGAAACATTAACCTCAATTTAACTTTCTCTGCAGTGAGTATAGAATTTCATCTAGAATCCACAGATTAAGATTGCAATTCTATATACTTCTATATAATTCTATATACATTTCCTGAGATAAATCGTATTGAATTCACATATAAAGTACATCTGACATTTGTCCTGCAAGCCACACATTTATCTATTTTCTCTAACTGTATTTGTGTATAATCTTATTAAAAACACTCTTGAAAAAAAACTTTGGAGAACTGTAAATAACCGACTCAATATAATTTAGACAGAAAAGATGTATTCACTCTGTTTTCATTCTCTTCTCGACACAACTTTTCAATTTGCGCGATGGCAGCAACATCCATCACAATGATAAAAACTAGTTCAGCAAGATAAAGTACATTGAGCCATATAAGCTGCTCTGGGAGTTAAATTTAATTCTTCCAATCTCCAGCTACTTACTCTGGCTAAACAGAGGTGTGCTATCCCTAAGAAATGATCAGCCATTTCTAAACAATGGGTGCCTTCAAATGCATTCATTCTATTTCTTTTTCAAACTCAAAGTTGGCAACATTTCATGTTTTGGGAAGCTATGGTAGCTATTGGGGGAGAACTGCATTCAAGCATTACATGCTGTAATGACAATGATGATGATAGTCATCATCATCATCATCATCATCATGAGTAACAATTACCTTTATCACGATGTGATAATGGAGCCCCCAGTGACACAATGGGTTAAACCCTTGTGCTGGCAGGATTAAAGACTGACAGGTCAGAGGTTCGAACCCAGGGAGAGTGTGGATGAGCTCCCTCTGTCAGCTCCAACTTCCCAGGGTGGGACATGAGAGAAGCCTCCCACAAGGGTAGTAAAAACATCAAAATATCTGGGTGTCTCCTGGGCAATGTCCTTGCAGACGGCCAATTCTCTCACACTAGAAGTGACTTGGAGTTTCTCAAGTTGCTCCTGACACGAAAAAAATCACTATGTGCTTTTAATTGTTGTTTTAATGTTATTTTTTTAATTGGATGGCTTTGATGTTTGTTTGTTTTTATCCATTGATGTATGTCTAGATGCAGCATTGAATTTTTGACTTTGTAAGGTTGCCTTGAGTGCCCTTTCAGGATTGAGAAAGGCAGGATACAAGTATGGTAAATAAATAAAAATAAATAAATAAATAAATAATAATAGTGATAAAGGTAATTGAACCAATTAATTGCGCATAGATTATCCATTGAACGTCTCTGGAGATTTTTAAACAGAAGGTGGATGTCCATCTGTCTGGTGTGCTTTGTACGTTCCTCTTCTGTATGGCAGTTGCTTGTTTAATTGAACATCTCCGGAGATTTTTAAACAGAAGGTGGGTGGCCATCTGTCTGGTGTGCTTTGACTGTGTGTTCGTGTACGGCAGTGGCTTGGCCTGGGTGGCCTTTGTGCTCCCTTCCAGACCTATGATTCAATGAACTTATTCCCTTTTGTTCCCCCAGTAGTGGACTTTGCCTGCCTCCAAAGCAAACTCTCCAAAATGCTTCTGCCAACTACATAATTCCATTAGCCTGACTTAGCAAGAAAAAGAGCAGCTGTCTCTTTCCTACCACTTGTCCATCAGCAGGCAAATGGGCGGAGGGGGGGGGGAGACTGAAAGGGAGAGAGAGATCTGTCCCTTGGACATACAGCCCACCACTCACAGAGGACAAGCTTGAACCCCCTCCCATCAATCCAGACCCCATGGGGAGGGAAATGGGAGTGAAGAGAAGAGGGTTGGCTGAGCAGAAGGTCCTATTGTTTCAAGACTAAGGGTGCATCTACACCAGGCATGGACAAACTTTGGTCCTCCAGGTGTTTTGGACTCCAACTCCCGCCATTCCTAACAGCCTCAGCCCTTTCCTTTTCCCCCTCAGCCGCTTAAGCGGCTGAGGGGAAAGGAAAGGGGCCTGAGGCTGTTAGGAATGGCCGGAGTTGGAGTCCAAAACACCTGGAGGACCAAAGTTTGTCCATGCCTGATCGACACTGTAGAAATAATGCCATTTTCTGCATTTTATTTGCTATGTCTCAATGTGATGGGGCTGTAGGAGTTGTAGTTTTATGAACTTTTTAGTCTTCTCTGTCAAAGAGAGCAGGTGCCTCACAAACTACAAACCCCATGACCCCATAGCGCTGAGTCATGGCATTAACTGTATTGATTCCACAACATAGATGCCCCTTGTTAGGTTGGTGCTGGTTTCACTGTCCACAGCGCCTTGCTGGGGGTGAAGGTGAGATGATCATCAATGCTGCCTCCTTGGAAAGTGTGTAGCAGGGGGATGAGATTTCTTGGGGGATGAGAGAACTCCCCAGCCAGGTGGGCCTTCCCTTTATGGCCCCCTAATCCTAAAGGCCCTAAAGATCCTGTCTGATCTGGGAAGCTAAGCGGGGTGAGCCCTTGAGCAGGAGACTCTGGGTGCTGTTGCTGGTGTAGGGAATAATGCCATCTGCTGAGGGCTGGCTTTCCAAGGCATTGAACTGACCAAACCAAGCTGGAGGATGAACACAGTTTGACACCCTTGACATGACTCAGGACTGGGAAATCCAGGGCGTACTAGCCCTTCCACACAGCCATATAACCCAGAATATCAAGGCAGAAAATCCCACAATATCTGCTTTGAAGTGGGTTGAGTTCACGCTGCCCTATAGTAAAGGTAAAGATTTCCCCTTGACATTATCTAGCTGTGTCTGATTCTGGAGGTTGGTGGTCATCTCCATTTCTAAGCCAAAGAGCTGACATTGTCCATAGATGCCTCTAAGGTTATGTGGCCAGCATGACTGCATGGAGCACTGTTATCTTCCCACAAAAACGGTACCTATTGATCTACTCACATTTGCATGTTCTTGAACTGCTAGGTTGGCAGAAACTGGGGCTCTAACACCAGGAGCTTACCCCGCTTCCCGGATTTGAACCACTAATCTTTCAATCAGCAAGTTCAGCAGCTCAGCAGTTTAACCCGCTGCCCCACTGGGAGCTTCTATTCGCTGCCATATATTCCTGTTCAAAGGAGGGCCCTGGTGGTGCAATGGGTGAAACCAGAGGTCCTCAAGCTAAGGCCTGAGGGCTGTCATTTACGTGGCCCACACTCATGGTCAACCTAAGTCTGAAATGATCTGAAAGCACACAACAACAACAACAATCCTATCTCATCAGCCAAAAGCAGGCCCACACTTCCCATTGAAATACTAATAAGTTTATATTTGTTGAAATTGTTCGTCATTTTAATTATTGTATTGGTTTTAAGTGGTTTTTTTGCACTACAAATATAATATGTGCAGTCTGTCAGCTCCCTCTGTCAGCTCCAGCTCCCTGTGCGGGGACATGAGAGAAGCCTCCCACAAGGATGGTAAAACATCAAAACATCCGGGTATCCCTTGGACAACATCCTTTCAGGCGGCCAATTCTCTCACACCAGAAGCGACTTGCAGTTTCTCAAGTCTAGGCTGCTATGGGTTTTTCGGACTGTATGGCCATATTCTAGAAACATTCTCTCCTGACGTTTCTCAAGTCGCTTCTGATACTGGGTAATTTCAGTCCACACTGCCATCTATCCCAGTTCAAAGTAGATCGTGTGGGATTTTATTCATCAGCGTGGAAGGGGCCAGAGTGCGCCTTCCCTGCCAAACTCCAGGCAAACTCCACAGCCTCCAACCATTACACAAAAGTGTACGCGTTCTGCATGGAAAAAACTGGACATATGAAAGCCTTATATTGGAAGAGGGCACAATCAAAGCACTCCCGACAGATGGTCACGCAGTTTCGGCTGAAACACCCCCCTCTCTCTGTTGTGGTCGGAGAATGAAAGACCTCCAACCCAAACCAGAGTCGGTCCTCGCTGCCCTCCGTGCCGGGCCTTTCCCCCTGGTGGGCTCCCTGACTCACCCGGGTGTCCCTCGGTGCGGCGTCCCTCGGTGGCCGGGCTCTCCTCCTCCTCCTTCTCCTGGCCGGTGGGAGCCAGCCCCGAGGCGCTGGAGGGGAGAGAGCCCACGGAGAGAGGCGCCAGGAGCAAGAGGAAGAAGAGGAGGAGGAGGAACTGATGGAGCAGACCCGAGCGCGTTGCTGGCATGGTGCTGGGGGCTTCACATGCTGCTGGGGGTGGTGCCGGTCGTGGAGCGCGTGGGGGGACAATGGGAAGGCTCCGGGAGGGGAAGAAGGAGGGCGCTCAAGGCGCAGCCCCGGCTGGCCAAGTCCCGCAGCTCCATGGCCGAGAGGGCGCCTTGAGCGGGGAGGACGGCATGGTCCGGAGGGGAGCGGGAGCAGCAGTGCGGCTTGGCCGGAGCCTGCGGGGAAAGTCAAAGCAGCGCCCAGCGAGGCAGGCTCCGCCCGGAGAGGCTGACATCAGCCCCGGACCAAGCCCAGGCCCGGCCCCTCCAGCCCTCCCCTCCGAGGGAGAGAGAGAGAGAGAGGCAACCTCCTTCCAGCCCCTCGCCAGGACGCACCGGCTGCCCAGCTGGACTGGGACCAGAAGGCACACCCGCCCAGGAGAGGGTCTCTCTCTCGAGGGGGATCCTTTCTTTTGGAGGGAACACTTATCAGGAAGTAAAACTTATTCGGAACAGTACATTTTGATAGCATTAAAAAAAAACAACAAACAAATTTAACATTAATTTAAGCAATTAAATTTTCATAGAATCAGAGAGTTGGAAGGGACCTCCTGGGCCATCCAGTCCAACCCCCTGCCAAGAAGCAGGAATATTGCATTCAAAGCACGCCTGACAGATGGCCATCCAGCCTCTGCTTAAAAGCTTCCAAAGAAGGAGCCTCCACCACACTCCGGGGCAGAGAGTTCCACTGCTGAACGACTCTCACAGTCAGGAAGTTCTTCCTCATGTTCAGATGGAATCTTCTTTTTTGTAGTTTGAAGCCATTGTTCCGCGTCCTAGTCTCCAAGGAAGCAGAAAACAAGTTACTCCCTCCTCCCTGTGACTTCCTCTCACATATTTTTTATAATTTTTATTGTCCATTGCTTTTATGGTTTTCAAATGTATTGTGATGTTTTTGCTTTTTACTGATGTATGCATTTTTATATATGGCATCTAATTGTTGCCGACTTGTACGCCGCCCTGAGTGGCCTTTGGGCTGATAAGGGCGGGATACAAATGTTGTAAATAAATAAATAAATAAATAAATAAAATAAACATTCCTAACTCCACCAATGATGAAACTGAACCAAACTTGGTACACAAAACTCCTACAACCAACAGAAAATACTGGGAGGGTTTAGTGAGCATTGATTTTGAGTTTGGGAGCTGTAGTTCACCTACGTCCAGACTCAGCAATGATGGATCTGGACCAAACCTGGCACAAATACGCAATGCGCCCAAATGTGAACAGAAGTTGAGTTTGGGGAAAATAGACCTTGACATTTGGGAGTTGTAGTTTCTGGGATTTATAGTTCACCTAAATCAAAGAGCATTCTGAACCCCACCAACAAGAGAATTGGGCCAAACTTCCCACACAGAACCTCACGACCAACAGAAAATACTGTTTTTTCTGATGGTCTTTGGCAACCCCTCTGACATCCCCTTGCAACCCTCCCAGGGGTCCTGACCCCCAGGTTGAGAAATGCTGAATTAGATCATAAAAATGTAACAGCCTTTAGACAATTTAAACATGGAATTAAAAATATATTAATATACACATCAAAATCACATAATCCAGAAATCATGGTCCAAGGTCATTTATTTATTTATTTATTTACTTTGCTTATATACCGCTGTTCTCAGCCCGGAGGCAACTCACAGCGGTGTACAACATAGAAGAACAAGGTTCAAAATTCAAGACACAATCTAAAATAATCCACAGTCCAGCATTAACAAACAACATTATCATCAAAAAACATCATCAATTACTACAAAAACCATTCCACGTCGTCTCATCGTCCAAACCACAATCCGGTATCATTTTCCGTTGTTCCATTCCTATTGTCATTACCAATTATTGCACTTCTTGTTCGAACGCCTTCTTGAACAGCCAAGTCTTTAATTTCCTGCGGAAGATCATCAGGGAAGGTGCCAGTCTGATGTCCACGGGAAGGGTGTTCCACAGCCGAGGAGCCACCACCGAGAAGGCCCTATCTCTCGTCCCCGCCAGCCGTGCCTGTGAGGCAGGCGGGATCGAGAGCAGGGCCTCCCCGGAAGATCTCAAAGTCCTGGTGGGCTCGTAGGCCGAGATGCGGTCGGATAGGTATCTTGGGCCGGAACCGTTTAGGGCTTTATAGACCAACGCCAGCACCTTGAATTGAGCCCGGTAGCAAATTGGCAGCCAGTGGAGCTGGTACAACAAGGGGGTTGTATGCTCCCTGCGTCCCGCTCCTGTTAGTATCATGGCTGCCGCACGTTGGACCAATTGAAGCTTCCGGGCCGTCTTCAAGGGCAACCCCACGTAGAGAGCGTTGCAGTAGTCTAAACGGGATGTAACCAGAGCGTGGACTACCGTGGCCAAGTCAGACTTCCCGAGGTACGGGCGCAGCTGGCGCACAAGCCTAAGCTGTGCATATGCTCCCCTGGTCACTGCCGAGACCTGGGGCTCCAGGCTCAGCGATGAGTCCAGGATCATACCCAAGCTGCGAACCTGCGCCTTCAAGGGGATTCCAAATGTCAAAGATCAATTGCACATATTCCCTGATCATTCCTTGTATTGCTTACTGCCCAAAGGCTTGGTCCCATAGCCAAGTTTTTACTTCTTTTCTGAAGGCCAGGAGGGAGGGCGCTGATCTAATTTCGTTGGAGAGGGAGTTCCATAGCTGAAGAGCCACCACTGAGAAAACCCTGTCTCTCATCCCCGCCAATTGCACCTGTGAGGGAGGTGGGACTGAAAGCAGGGCCTCTCCGGATGATCTTAGTCGCCGAGATGGTTCATAAAGGGAGATACATTTGGACTCGTAAACTGAGCCAGAACTGTCGAAGGCTTTCATGGCCGGAATCCATGGGTTGTTGTAGGTTTTTCCGGGCTATATGGCCATGTTCTGGAGGCAATTTTTCTCCTGACGTTTCGCCTGCATCTATGGCAAGCATCCTCAGAGGTAATGAGGTCCTCATTACCTCTGAGGATGCTTGCCATAGATGCAGGCGAAACATCAGGAGAAAAATTGCCTCCAGAACATGGCCATATAGCCCGGAAAAACCTACAACAACCCATGGGCCAGAACTGTTTAGGTGTCCCGAGTTGAAAAACAGAAAGAGAGAGAGGCAGCCAAGCCTGCCACAGTCACAGCAACAGGGACTGCCATTTCCCATCCTAATTTAACCCACCATTTTGGGGGGATGGAGACTGGGGGCTTCTTTTGGAGACTTAATTCAGAAATGTACAGGTCATGTGCAACGTGCCCAGAAAGGGAGAGAACTGCAGGTAGTGGGGCTCAAGTTGGCTCTCCCCCTTTCTAGGTACCTTGTACATGATCTACAAACCTCAGGAGATTGACTCGGGGGGGGGGGGGGGGCTTACATGCGGCCAAGCCCAATCAACAGAGTTAAAAACATAGCACATTAAAATGCATAACATCAATTAAAATAACATGAAACAATAATTATAACAAAATAACACAAGCATCAAAGCCAACAATAGCATAATTCAAGTCTCGATATGGATGGGAGGGCTGGTGCCCATCCATATTGGTAATTGGTAACGTTGTGCAAGAAACCAAGTATGTGTACACTGAACAATGATAAAACAAAGATGTAACTATCTCAGCCAACCATGTGGACAATTTCTGGAGTATTTAGGATTTTGGAATTCTGGATAAAGTATGATATGCTTAACCTGTACTGAAAGATTTTAGCAGGTCAGGAGTCAAAAATTCAGCACCATTGTTGTCTTCTTAACTAATGACATTAAAGTAATATGCACAGATTACTAAGGGAAGAGTAAAGTTTAAGTTTTCTTGTGGTGATTGGTCATATATCTGAGTCAAATACATAGGAAAAATGCAATCTCTGTTCAAATTCACGTTCACAGGTTGCACTGCAGTTTGCAATGCAAATAACCACCACATGAAAAATATACAGTACAAGTTGCTAATGATGTAATTATTATTGGTAATCTTAATCTTTATTCAAAAACCTATAAAACTGTGTCAGTGGCAGATGGAGAATGTTTGTGTGAACTAATTGAAAAAAAACATGAACACATTCCTATGCGTACTACCCATATCTTGCTTATAGTGCAAAACCAGAAAGAAAGGAAGAACAATACAATATTTAAAATGAAGAACAATTTTAACCAACATAAACTTAATAATATTTCAGTGGAAGACCCCAGGGCTATCTAATCCAACCCTCTTCGGCCATGCAGGAAAAGCACAGTCAAAGCCCCCCCAAAAGATGACCATCCAGCCTTTGAAATGATGATGATGATGATGATGATGATGATGATAACAATAATAATAATAATAATAATAATAATAGGAGCAACCCAGGGACCATCCAGTCCAACCTCCTTCTGCCTTGCAGGAAAAGCACTCAAAGAACCCCCCAACAGATGGTCATCCAGCCTTTGCCATAATAATAATAATAATAATAATAATAATAATAATAATAATAATAATAGCAATAATAATAATAACAATAATAATAGGAGCTACCCAGGGCCACCCAGTCCAACCTGCTTCTGCCTTGGAGGAAAAGCACAGTCAAAGTGGCAGGGAGGTCTTTCAGGCTGTGATAGCAGCAGTGCCAGGGAGGCCCCTTAGACTGCGGTGGTGGGATTCCACAAGCCATATACTTCCTAAACAGGGGGAAGCAGGGGGGCACAGGGGCCCTGTGGAGTCCCTGACTGGGCTTCAAGGAGCCCTAAGGGCTCCACGGAGCACAATTTGAGAACCACTGCTCTAGAGTTTCAAACAGAGTATTTCTCAACATTATCTTCGAACTGGGGACAGGGGATGTTTGAATCCAAAGCTATAGCCTCTTCTCATTTGCACAGCTTTGAAAAAAAATAATCCTACCAGAACCCCTAAGACAGCATAGGCAGGGCCATGCTAATTATAAAATTCTGGGAGCTACAGGACAAAAAAAAAAACAAGGAACTTTTTCTAGCTCTGTCCCATGAATATTTTTTCTCTATTTGTTTAGTGATTTGCAGAGCTTTCAATGATCCTTACAAACACAAATAGGCTAAGGCCTAATAACTTGAGTCAAGTTATTACAACACAGTTTATTTTCACATTTTGTGCTACTCTACAAAATTATATTACAACTAGCTGTCCCTTGCCACGTGTTGCTGTGACCCAGTCTGTGTATGTGTGTTTTGCGTGTGTATATATGTGTGTATATATGTGTAAACATGTTGTTTTGCGCATGCATTGTAATGTATTTTTAAAGTCTCTTCCACTGGGTTTTTCAGTTTTTATGAGTGATGGTCATTCATGGGCCTGATGTGCCCAAATTTGGTGTCAATTTGCCCAGCGGTTTTTGAGTTATGTTAATCCCACAAACAAACATTACATTTTTATGTATATAGATTGTTAGGAAGCAATTAGAACATTTTCACATTTTCTGGGTGAAAAACATATAGTTCTGTATAGGAACTGCTCATCACCTACACTCTGTTGCTTGAGTTCCAATGAGTTTCAGACATCTTTGAATCAGGTGATAGCACCACCAGCAAGACTTAAAATAGAGGAGTATTCAGTACGTCATGAGACTTGTGCAGGTAGTCCTCAATTAATCAAGTAGATATGTTCCTATGCATTGCTTCAACATACATTTTGATAGCAAAAGCAGAAATCATATGGGGGAAAATAGGCATAGGTTCCTGTGCCACAAAGAAGAACATTTCAACACATTTCAGCCATGATCCAATGCTAATAATATGCACTTTGAAATGAAACAACTTGGTATGGTAAACATTTAAGACTTTTTAGAATCCACTCAAAATTCTCTTCCAAAATGTAACCATGGATTATCTTTTTTTCTTTTACCAGTCTTCACGTTTTTTATTTTATTTTAGTGGCCAAATGTTTAGATGGATTTGGGTGGGGGGGGGGGGTTCATGTTGCCTTCCTCTTTGCTTTCTGTTTTACTGTCCATGCATGATTAATATGGGATTCTTTTGATTCTTTCTGTTGTAGGTAAACAAGAGAACTAAACACAACAGTAAAGGTAAATATAGCCAAGGCATAAATGCAGAGATGAACTGGCAGAACTGCATGAGCAGATTTCAGAAGAAAGTAATAGGTGTGATTGGGATTATTGGCACAGCTCTTGCCTTACTAATACCAAGCACGTGGCCAATGAAAACAATGAGTTTAGGAGAAGCATGTGTTTCCATCCAAAAAAAGTTCACTCAAAAGAACAGAGAGAAAGAATAAAATTGAAGAAAAGCAAGAATTGTAATACAGACAGATGAGTGTCTGCATATATGTATATTCAATGTAATCTACAAATTGCAAAAAAGTACTGTAAAAGGCCATTGCTTATTTCCTCTAATTTTTAGTAACAGGTGAACATAGAGTTTGGTTAGTTGCTGTTCCTGCTAGTATTTTTAACCTCTGTCTTGTCTGGGTTAAGCTCCAGGTTGTTTGCATTTATCAGCATCCAACAAAATTCTATTACATGCCTTTAAGATCGGCTTACATGCTAGTGGAATAGGAAGTGGCCAATGAACCAATTAAAAAAAAAACATGAAGTGGGAGTTGAGGTAATGGTATTTTACCACGCATGTTGCATTTGGGAGTAATTCGATTAATTCAGCCAAACTTACTGAGCACTATAGAATGTAAAATATTCTGCCTGCTCCTCCCTTACACCATTACATTTTCTTCTGTGCTTGATGTTTTCTTAAAAAGGAGGAATTGGTTGTTTCAAAAATTAGAGGAAATAAGCAATGGCCTTTTACAGTACTTTTTTGGCAATTTGTAGATTACATTGAATATACATATATGCAGACACTCATCTGTCTGTGGTTAGCACATATATAATGCTACTAATACTACAATTTATCAGTCAATAATCTAAATGTGGAATTCCACTGTGGCTAAATTTATTTTATAGTACTTTTTCATCTTGCATGTGAGAAATATCATTTCAAGAAGTAAAAACTAAACAAAACAGAGGTTGATGGAAGCTTGTGGAACATTTCCTTTACTTGATACTAAGCTGGTTTTTCTTCCATGACAAGGAAAGCAGATATGCAGACAAGGTAAATTGAAAGCCTTGATTGGAACATCCCTTATTTTAAGGGGCAGCTTCAAATAGTATAATGAATGGTGCCAGAGGTTTATAGTAAACACAGACCTACAAATCATTGTACTTTCAGGATGTATTCTTACATGGGTTTATATTCACTTTAAGCATGTAAGCAATGTACACTAGTTTTCACACAAGGTATGAGAGTACACTGCATTGAAACAATAACCATTCGTTTCCTGTAAAGGGTACCTAAGGATTGTAGATGCTCAGGGGTTTCAATCGCTGTAATTTACACAATCCCAGCCAGCAATTTGAAAAGTATATGTTGAAATTATTCTGCTTAGTAAGTCTTCTGTCCCACCCAATAAAATTTTGGCAGGAGGTAAAAAATTAACCTGCAAATATTATTGAAGAAGCACTCTGTCCCTTTTAGACTCCATAAATTATACAACTTAATGTTTGAGTTTTCAGGACATGTACTACAGAGCAACTTTTGAAGTATTTTTGGATGTCTGGTGTAGTGGACAACATTGTCTCTCTGGTATCACATCACTCCATAAACTTTCTAGCAAAGTTCCTTCTTCTCCTGTGGATCCTTGCACAGCAGCATGGACAGTCTTCTGCGCCTGTGATTTATCTTGGCAGCTTGTTTTCATTCCACACAACCAACAGATCCAGAGCTTATAGATGTTACCTTTTTTGAACTTCCCAGAATTCCTAGAAGTTATCTGCCAACACAATGATTCTTCCAAGCTCTGAAAACCCTCAGAATCTATTGCCATGGCATACAGATAAAAATAGCAATTGTGTGGTCATGAATGTTATTTCAAGTGAAGTGAAGAAATTTGCATAAAGGTTGATAGTGCAATCCTGTTTTCCAAAAAGATCGGCTGATTTTGGTGTGGCTTATCCCGCACAAGTAATATCAGGTTGCAGTCTTAAATGTTCATTGATATACATGCACAGACACACTCAATTGCCCAAACTATGCTGTCTGTTGAAGCTTTGTTTAGCAAACTGAAGTTTTACAACTCGGTTACTTATTTAAAATTTATTAATAGCTTTCTGTACAGAAATCTGGAGATTCCTAATGCAAATCTGGGTTTTTTTTACAAAGGAAGTGGGGAATCTGGCTTGACCTCAGGGACAGAGATCACCAAAAATACAACACATGGTTAATTTGAGCCTTGAACAATATTACATGAAATGTATCTGTTATGTGACATTTCACATGACACGAATAAGGAAATATTCCTTAGATAGTTAAACAATTGTTTAAAGGATCAACTAAAGCTGTGCAACCAAATCTCAAGTCTTAATTACTTTTCTGTTTTTTCTATACCTGAATGCTGCCATTGCTTCCCTTTCTCTCGTCCTCCTTGCATGCTTATTTGGCCTGCATCTTCTTTCTATGGATAATTTAATTCCACTAAAAAATAAATTTGGAATGTTGTATGAACCATCTGCAACAACAGCAGAAAATATTGTGTGTGTGTGTGTGTGTGTGTGTGTGCACATACATACAGAAAATAGGACACACTTACACTCGCATACCACGTTCTGCAAAGGACTTAAAACTTCTTGTATTTCAAAAAACAGAATAGAGTTTTGGATCCGTGGCACGGAGGCCTGTTGTTTATTCCCTTCTCTTTTGCTGAGCCCCCACTTTAATTGGAGGTTTTGGTATTCATTAAAATCAGACATAAAAGGGCAAGCCTTTTAATCAGGCGGTGTGTCTGTGGTCAGAGTTTTTAATTGGCCAGTAGAGTCAATGGCATGCTGCTCCCTCATTGGAGCTATTTAATAAACTCTTCTCTGGTAATAACGGAGGAATGGTGGTAGCGGTCCCGGGAGGCAAAATCTGTATTCTCTTGAGTGAGCTGAGTGGTCTCCATGCCAACTGTTGCAAAGGATGGTGTCACAACAAATCGTTCCTCCGGGGATGGCCTTCCCCTGGAAAACAAAGGAACGCAAAACCTTCAGATGCCTCATTGTTTCCCAATGCAACTGCAGCTGCACTCTGAACTATGTAAACAAAAGAGTACAGGGATCTACTCCGCCATGCACAAAGGCATGCCACTACAAGGAGGAATGCAAGCTCTTCGCTGTAGCTGGAGGGTTTGCCCCAAATTAATTAGAGACTCTTTGCAAGAAATACTTTAAAAACATAAAAGGTTTTTCCCCTTAACACAGGCATCTGCTTCTCCTCCGTTATTTCCAGATTGCTTCCGTCACTTCAATCATGTACAATTAGGACACAGGTTACGCCTGCACCATTATGGCTAAAGATGAAACAATTTAAAATTATGACTGCTATCTCCTTCTAAACATTTTGAAGTTAGCAGGCAGCAATCCTGAGAAAAGGAGAAAAACAAAGAGAGAAAAAGTCTTGTGGAGACTTTTCCAACAGCATGGTAAATAAAGACCACTCAGAAGATTTCATATTGCAAATATAAACTGAAATTTTTATCATATTAAAGGGCTCCCTGCAAGACACTTGAATGGTATTTGGCTTATCTGTTAGCAGATACTAATAAATGTAAGGAAAAATTGTTACAAAGTTTCTTTTTTCTTGTGCTAAGATTCATAAATGTATGATTCAGACACATAGAGTCATCTCTTATATTGATGGGTTTTGAATTCATGGATTTGACCAATCATGGCTCAAAAATAACTTCTTAAAAACAGATAATTACATTCTCTATAGCACTTGTCTCAGTTGTTCACCTTTTTATATAAGGAGCTCATCACATTTGCTGCCAGAATTGCCACAGATTGTGGGGAATCCACCGGTGCCCAGCAGATGGCAGGGGGAACCTGTCACCCCACGCCCCACACCACTTCCCCCCATTGATCTCTATGCAACACAGGAAACTTCACATGTTGCCGTGGTGGTGGCGTATGCCAGTTCCACTTCAGTTTTGCTCCAGAACCCCGTCAGAAGGAGCTGGTGGGCTCTGTGCCAAAACTCAAGAGGAACCTGAGTACGCCAAATTTTAGCCTGTTTGCCATTGTATATAGAATCCTAGAATCCTAGAGTTGGAAGAGACCTCATGGGCCATCCAGTCCAACCCCCTGCCAAGAAGCAGGAATATTGCATTCAAAGCACCCCTGACAGATGGACATCCAGCCTCTGTTTAAAAGCCTCCAAAGAAGGAGCCTCCACCACACTCCAGGGCAGAGAATTCCATTGCTGAACAGCACTCACCGTTAGAAAGTTCTTCCTCATGTTTAGGTAGAATCTCCTTTCCTGTAGCTTGAATATAATGGGGTTTGAGCATCTACGGATTTTGGTATCAACAAGGATCCTCCGTGGAAAAGGATTTGTTTAATTTTTTTTTAATAATTGCTAAGTTTATATTACCTTTATCTATTTTTAGATAGGGCTGTGGAACGCCCTTCCCATGGAGGTTAGATCAGCCCCCTTGCTAATGGTGTTTCGAAGAAGATTAAAAACTTGGATGTTTGAACGGGCATTCGGATAACAGTGCAATGAATGTGATGATTACAGGAATGGAAATATGGACGACGAATTGGATCACGACTCTAGTTATGAGATGTATTGTGTTGTTATAGTGGGGTTAATATTTGTATACTATGTTTTTATGGTTTTAAATTGTATATTGTTGATTGACTTGTTACCCTTGTTGTAAACCGCGTTGAGTCGCCGGCTGGGCTGAGAACTGCGGTATACAAGTAAAGTAAAGTAAATAAATAAATAAATATTTTACATTGCTTATCTTTCTAAAGGTGTTTTACGTTATGAATATCTTGTGTTTATTGGTATTTGACTGCATAATAAAAATGGGATTGTAATGGCGTGTTCAAGGGCTTGCAAATACATTGTGTATCAGCAATTTTTCTATAATATATTGCTAGATGGAAGAGAGATGACATATTCAAGGACTTGCAAATACATTTGTGTATCAGCATCTTCTTTACATATATTGCTTGATGGGATAGTGATAGAATTTGCAGTTATCACTGCTAATTCCCTGGTAAAATGAGTAGTTCAGAAAAATCTCACAAAGAGGAAAAAAGCAGAGAGAACTTTTTTACATGTTGCAAAATTTCTTGGATAACTAAACAAATGTGTATAAAAAGTTTTCTGCACAATATTGTTGCTGTACAAATATCACATTGTGTTACATATTTTTGCACAGCATAATTGCCCTAAAGTCTTTCAGAGTGCAAATATCCACCAAGATGGCACAGAAATCTCCATTTTATTTCCTAGACTGAGGAAGAAACTATGGAGTGTCTTTGTCCTTTCAGCAAAGTTGAAGGCTGTGAAGATCCTTATGCCGGTGTGCAGAAGAACTGCAAAGTAGGGATCAACAGCCTCTTTCCTTGAACTAGCAAAATTACAGTTTTAAACAGTCTGAACAAAAGGTAGTTTCATTAAATCATGTGGTCCTCCAAACAGAAGTCCAGCTCTCAAAAGGCTACAGGTGTACAGTATACAGGTGTACACCTGAGCCTAGAAAATGACTGTTTCAAAAAGTCATTTATTTTTGCATTTGTTACATTATAAACAGCCTATCCTTTAAGAAGATCCTTAGATAGATGATTCAGACACACATGCTACACACATACACAGACACACCTGGTTTAAGCTGGTTCTACACTGCCAAATAATGCAGTTTGAACTGCATTATATGGTCAGTGTAGAACCATATAAACAGTGAAGGAAATAAAAAGATAAATGGGTCCAATGCGAGACAGAATCCAACAACATGTTGGATTCCTCATGGAAACATCCTCATGGGAGGATATTTACACAAGGCCATTTTCTTAGTGAAATAACTTCTTCCAAACTGGTTGCAATCTCACAGGAAGGATATGCTATGTTTCAGTGTTCATGAGAAACACTCTTTTCTGGAGTATTTTGCATACATTTGCTGCCAAAATGACTTACATTGTAATCCTATCTCCAGTGCCCAACAAGGATGTTCCCTTGGATTCCATGGGTCTTACTCCTGACCACACATGCAAAGGATTTAGCGTTTAATATCAAAATTATTAAACAAACAAAGTATATGCTTTTTCCTGATACCAACCTGCAGGCATTAAATAAAAGTAGCTTAATCCATTTGAAAAAACTAAAGTTGGCTGCTGCACCTATAGAAAAAAAATGAAATAAGTCAGACTGATGGTCTTTTCTAATAACTAGTATAACTGAAATATTTATGTAAAATAATATATACTAATAAAATTGGTATAAAATATATCCTTGCATGAAGGTTTAATACAGTTTGACATAAATTTAAAAATTTAATAATTATAATAATAATATAGATACTGAAATTCATTGGGCCACAGTGGTGCAGTGGGTTAAACAGCTAAACTGCAGAACTTGCTGACTGGAAAGTCAACGGTTCAAATCTACGGGATAGGGTGAGCTCCTATTGTTAGCCCTAGCTTCTGCCAACAGAACAGTTTGAAAACATGCAAATGTGACTAGATCAATAGGTACCGCTCCAGCGGGAAGGTAACAGCACTCCATGCAGTCATGCTGACCACATGACCTTGGAAATGTCTACAGACAACACTGGCTCTTTGGCTTAGAAATTGAGAAGAGCACCATCCCCAGAGTCGGACTCAACTAGACTCAATGTCAAGGGGAAATCTTTACTTTTACAAATATTCAGATTCCTCCTTAACTGAGGCTTTGGAATGGCTGCTGAAGTGATCAATACAGGTATTACATGTCATAACTTTGAATATTTTGTTACCTTATCTCTTTGGTATAAAAATGCTTCAACATCTAAGACAAACTTTGAAAAGGAAGACCCTTTATTCTAAATTTAAAATCTAGAAAGGAAGCTCTTGCTAAGTTTTACACTAACAATCACACAAAGTGTAGAATACATATTCCCAAGTATTTTTATAAAATGATTTAATGGTATCGCTTGTCATCAAATACTGTTTCCAAGCAAGTATGAATTGAAAACAAAGCTCTTACCAACACATCTTTTCATACGTATGTCCAATGTAAAGAGAGACAGACAGAGAAAAAAGTAAGGACTGCCGAAGTGTTCATAACATGTACCAATCCCACAACACTTTAGTGATGGTTTTTGGTTATATGATTAACAGCGCACATGTATCATCTATTAATTATGTGATTAATATATTATTAAATATTAAATATTAATAATGATTAATGTGATTAATATATTATATTAATTATAAAGAAACTGTGGCAGTCAAAACTAACTGGGTTTGGTTTGACAATTAGGGGCGGCTCAACCCATTACGCAAAGTAAGCATATGCAGTATAGTTAATTTTGCCCAGGGGCGCTCTTGAGGCGCTCTTGGGGGAAAATAGACCGTGACATATGCGAGTTGTAGTTACTGGGCTGTATAGTTCACCTACAATCAAAGAACATTTTGAACTCCACCAATGATGGAACTGAACCTAATATGGCACACAGAACTCCCACGACAAACAGAAAATATATATCAGTGATTGGTTGGGGGGGGGGCACCAAAATAGTGTTTGCTTACCGTAGAAAGTTACCCAGGGCCGCCTCTGTTGACAATATAGGTACATATAGGCAATTTTTGAACTTTGGAGATAGATTTCAAAGCATTGGGTGCTCAGTTACATCTTGCTGACTTGTTGAAGTATTGCAGTGCAGTCCCTTCCATCACAACTGGCATTGGAAGGGGGCTACTCCAGTGCACCAAGATGTTCACCCACCAATACAGTCTTAATATGGAAAATTGTGTTCCTGGGGGATTCTAGGGCACAGTTCATTTGAGGGCATTTCTAACATGTGATGTACAACTGGTCTCCCATGACTGGAAGGTATCTATATGTTTTTTAATTTATCATTATCCTTTGCACCAGGAGAAAGGTGGAAAAATCAATCACTCAATCATTGATGTACATATAAAGCAATCAATATAAATACAAAGCAAACATGGAATTACAGTTAATTTACAGCTATTTAGTATGGCCTAGCAATTGGAGTGGTCTGGTGACCAGAATCCCTGCTCAGCCATTGAAACCCACTGAGAGACCTTGTTCACTAGCTCTCCACTTCAGAAGAAGGAAAAGGTCATTCTCTGGTTTGCTGTGAGTTTTCCGGGCTGTATAGCCATGTTCCAGAAGCATTCTCTCCTGACGTTTTGCCCACATCTATGGCAGGCATCCTCAGAAGTTGTGAGGTCTGTTGAAAACTAGGCAAGTGAGGTTTATATATCTATGGAATGTCCAGGGTGAGAGAAAGAACTCTTGTCTGTTTGAGAAAAGTGAGAATGTTGCAATTGGCCACCTTGATTAGCATTGACTGGCCATGCGACCTCAAAGCCTGGCTGCTTCCTGCTTGGGGAATCCTTTGTTGGGAGGTGTTAGCTGGCCCTGACAGTTTCATGCCCAGAATCCTCCTTTGAACACACTTTGGCAATAAAACCCTATGATAGGTTTGCCATGAGGTAGCCTTAAATCAGAAACAACAACATTTAACTATATGGTGAAGCCTTTTCAATTAAAAAAAAAAACCTTGAAAAACCGGCAATGACACAAAATGAAGGTACTTACCAGGTGGTAGCCCTGGACTCACTTGACCAATGTAGAAATACAAAATAATGGCTATTCCCAAGTTAACAAGGGTATATATCCACTGAATGACAAACATAATGGCAAGTGATCCTATTGCCTGTTGGAAAAATACATTCTTTAGGATAGGTGCATCTGCTTGTGCCATCAATTATTTATTATGCCTTGAGCTGTGAGGAGAGGTGAGGTATTATTTTATTATTTATGCCAGTAGAGCTATGACAGCTAAATGAGCTGTCAGAATTTAAGACACAACTGAGGACCTATCTCTTCCGGCAGGCCAACCCCAATAGTTTTAATGATGAATTTTAAACTTCCACTCTATGCATAACTTTTGTTTTGTGTATTTTAATATGTATATTTTGGAAATATATTTTAATATGTGTATTGTACAAAGTGTGTTTAAAAGACTATGTGTTTTGATTAGTTTGATTAAAAGACTATGTGTTTTGATTATGTCGTAACCAGCCTCAAGCCATGAGGAGAGGCAGATAAGAAATAAGATTATGATTATGGTTATTATTTCTATTGAAAAATCAAAGAAATTGTGATATCCAAAGGTAGAAAAAGCTTAGAATGTTCCACTTCTCAACATAATGGCCTGGGCCTAATCAGAAGTCATTAATTTCAATAGGATTTGCTGTTGTCTGAAGTTTCACATATCCAGGAGTACATCCTCTGCTAATACAGGGATCATACTGTATAAAATTATGCAGGGTTTTGAGAAAGTGGAAAATCAGGAACTTTTCTTCTTCATAATACTAGAATGAAAGGGCTTGCAAGCATTTTATCACCACTAACTGAAGCTGAGATGTGATAAAATAAAATACTGGTACTATGTTATTGTATCAATTTGCTTAAGTTGTAATCACCCCAAGTTCTTCTGAGGAGATGGGGCGGAGTATAAAGATTATTATTATTATTATTATTATTAAACACAAAGCATCGGTATGGTTGTCAAACTGAAACAAATTAATGTTTCTGAAAAGAAATCAGATCGATTTGACTAATATCAGAGTCAGTATGCCTCAAAAAATACCATTGCACTATTGTGTTGCTTGTGGGATTTTTCACAGTCAGATCAATAAGCCTTTGGGGTCATACAACATGACTTGACTGCCTTGGCTATGGGGAAGCAGGTCACGGGAGTTGACTTGAAATAGTCACTGTTCCTAAGTTGAACCGCCACATAGCATTTTAGCATGTCCCCAGGCGGCATCACCTATTGTTTCCTTTTCTTCCTCTTTCACACCAGCAACTAAAAGTGCCACGTGATGGAGACAATGTGTGTTATAGTCAAACACATTCAGAGGAGCTCAGGTTAGAGAAGGCAGTTCTGCACAGATTATATGCCTTGCATTTACAAATTTGCCAATTTGTATAACTCAACCTTTTCCGTGAGGTTTGGACTATGCTTTTAGATCTGTAATAACATTTGTGCCATCATTTGCCTATCCTCCTACAGAAATGATTGAAATATTAGAGACTCACACCAACAAGGGAAACCCAATGATCGCAGAGTTTGGAGTAGAAGGATACTGGCATTTTCTGGATTTCTAATTCTTGGTTTCGTCGTTTTGCATTTAAATCTATAGAAAAAGAGAATAAAACACAATAAAAGTTTATTCTGAAAGTATAACTCCAGGTATTTTTGTATTCTTATAAGAGTTCAGCTTTAACTGTGGATATGCCTTGCTTCTACCAACAAAATAGGCCATTTTACAGATGCTTCTGTCTTCTTCGAAGTTCACACTCTGTCAGATATTTGGCATTGCATTCTGAAGTTTCCTCGCAACTGCAACTTTTTTTTTTTGCTTTATTCAAAGTGAAAAGCTTCAAAACTTGCCAAACTCCAGTGTTTCAGGAGTACAGAAATGTGGTGCTGATACATTGACACATTTACCTTAGTAACATGTCTAGGTGTTTCCTTTTTGCCAAATTATTTGAAGAAAAAGTGGTAAAAGATCCAAACTGGCTGAAAATAGAGATTTTGCGAAGAAAACATATCCCACTAAAATGAAAAATATCTTGTTATTCTTATTGTTGATTACATAATTTGCAATCTATATATTTTCAGACCAGTTGCCTAGTAAATGCTACCCTGTTAGAAATTTTCAGAGAAAGTGATGTTTTATTTGGTATAGCTAATGACTTTTGCATGACTCAGGTCACTTTCACACTTCCATTTTAGAGAAGGCAAACTTTTTGAAAGAATTAAACAATGCTTCCAGGCATGCAACAAAACCAAATCAATTTCTAAACAATGGTCAGAACTATCTAAGGAAGAATGCAACATGTGTGTTTGTGCAGAATAGGGCTGACTTCAATTTGATGATCAGAATGTTAACTTCTGGAAGCTATTCTCTCCTATGTCACGATAAAAAAATAAATATGTTGATTTCACACTGCTGTGTATGTGAAGAATGCAAATATATGCAAGCCAGCAGATGGAATGATATAAACAGTAAATCTTCTGCACTGAATTAAATATTGGCTCCTTTTGCATAGGCAAATTAGATCACCATTCCTGTAAATAATTAGAAGTAATTATGTGTTTATTTGTTTCTTAAACAACAAAAATCTGATACCTAGGGTAACATATAGATCACATAAAAATAGCCAGCTTTGGTGTGGGCTGGTCCATGAGGTCACAAAGAGGCGGAACATATAAACAACAACAACAACAAAAGGGCACTTGAACCTTCCTTCACAGATACATAGACAGAATAAATTGTACTTCTAATTTTATTACCTTCCGTTTTCTGATTGGGAGTTTTCTGCGTCTCATCAGAATTATGGCCCTCATCTTGGATGTGTTTCTTCTTAGTTTCTACAGTTTCATGTGTCAATGCATTTTCTTCATGCTGGCAATTTGGCTCTGGAAAGCTCTGCATATTTTTGCCACTGGATTCCAGCACATCACTATCAGTATCCTGAATAGAAACAACATCAGTATCTAGATCCAAGAGAAAGCTGTCTTGTAATGTCTGTTTAGCTGCCTTCTTTTGCTTTCTCTGCTTGACCATCTGGCCAAAGTCCTTCCCTTTGGTTTCAAGAGTGGTTCCTGGATCTTTATCAAGAGGCTTAAAAAGATGGTCCATGTCTTTTGTGAATTCTAGCAAAGTGCCGTCCGACCTGCCTTGAGCTATGCCATCTGACCCATAGCAGGAAGGTTTGTCGAGTATCAAAGGCCGAGAACAGCTCAGCGCAACCCTGGAGTCCTCCCTCCGCATCTGCCTGGAGTTCTGCTGAAGACTGTAGCTCATGGAGACCGCAAAGTAGGCGTAATCTACCGCAATATATGTAAGCATGAAGATGATGGTAACTATTGGAGCAAGGGTATTCACTTGACCAATGAAGATGAAAGCCATGGTGATCAGGCTTGTTAAACAGATTGCAGCCACTGGGGTTCGATTTGGTCCTTTCTAGATTGAGAGCAAAGAAAGATCTGTATGGGTATAATAAGGGTGGTACTGCAATTATAACACATCTCAACTTGCCAGATAACGTCTGCCTCCAACTCCAGTCCTGACTCAAACTACTGTCTTGGAAGAGATGCTTTTAGAAAAATACGAAGGATGAGGGATGGTTTTAGGAAAGTATGCTAGAGCATGGAAACAACTTGTTACAAGTAATGTTGTACAGACTGCCTCTCTGTTATACCCCTGAGATAATGTATCAATGACGTATTACTTTTAATGGAGAGCAAGAAATGCTTTTGCCTATTCTTATTACTTAGCACTGGGGTGGAGAGTGATGTCTCTTAGGAGAGGGCCATGGGGCCTAAATACAATTCTTAATCCCAAACAAAGCAAATCCTTTGAACCAGGGGAACTGACCTAACATACTCTATTCAATGGGTCTACTTGGCAACTGGATTAGTTGGCAATTGGATTTAAATCTAGCTCCAGACTTCACCTTCCAGGATCCCCTTTGTTGGCCAAGTAAATAAATTTTTAATGGCAATATACTAGATTGCGGATGAGAGTCCTGTGCCTTTTGAATATTATTGGATACCAACTCCCATTATCCCCTCACCATTGATGTCTGCTGCCAGTATAAAATGCTAAATGAAAACACATAATACAGTACTGAGGAATAAAAGCCAATTCCTAATAAAGTTCATGGTTTGGGGCACTTTATTTATTTTATGCAGAATTTGTTATAATATTTTTGATTTTAAACAATAAGAGTTCCCAATATCCTTCTGTTTCTGGAATTTCAATTACAAAATGCAGCTCATAGCTGAGGATGATGATGATGATGATGATGATGATGATGATGATAACAAGGGACTCGGGGCAGATTCCAAACATAAAAGGCAAGTATTCAATGCCCAAATACAACAATACACCCATAATAACTAAAATTGACGACCCAACTTATAAAAAGAAATTATGCCTTAACAACTAAAATTAAATAAAAATGCAACCTGTTATGAGAGACATAAGACAAAATATCAAACATCAAACAGAAGCATCAGTTTTCCAGTTCCTTGGGAAACAATGCTTTCAATGTTTACTAACCCCTTGTCCAAGAAATGCAAGACTTGGTATCACTTTCTCTTGGGCAATGCACTGAAGTATTCTGGGTGCGCCATACAGCCCACCCATACAGGATGCTAAGGATGAAATGTACAAACCCAGCAAGAATAGGAAGCCCACCAGGGACACCTAAAAAATGAAAACAGCGCAAAATAATTGGTGCATTTCTTAATTAATGCTACACTCCTAATATATACAATTGGAATGAGTGGGCCGCTTGCCTGGAGACTTGACATAATAAACTTAACAGTGCCAGTTAGGTAGTCTAGTGTTGAGTCCTCACTACAATCATTAATTTAACAGGTGCTTCTCTTTTCACATCTACATACTTATGTCATCATTTGAACTTTAGAATAAACCAGGAGCAGGGAAGATGAATGTTTTCTTACTTATAAAGTTAGTCTTCTTTAAACTAACCATGCATATCTTCTAGATCAGAGATGTAGATTCTTTTGCCCTTCATATATTATTGAAATGCAACGTCTATAAGCCCTAGGCAGTACACTTAACAGTGGGAATAGCAGTGTGACAACATCAGGAGAGCTCCACATAATTGTGAAGCTTTGAGTGCATAGATACTGTGAAAGGTCCATACTTCCAAAATGGGGAATTCTATCAGCATTGAGTTTTTGTTTTTGTTGTTGTTTCATTTTAGGGGGTGGGTTGTATCAGAGCCACTGAGCAATGCTATTACAGCAAGTCTTTACTTCATGTGTTCCCTTTCTATCTTCAGTTTTTAAACACCAGCAGAGAAACATGAAGCACTCTGCTGTTCTGCACATGTTAACTCATAATTTTCATTGACAGAGACCAGCTTGGTTTAGCAGTTTGAGTGTTGGATGAGGATGCTGAGAAATCAGGGTCCGAATTCTCACTGGGCTGTGGATACACACTGGGTGACTTGGAACAAGTCACACTGTCTCAGCCTCAGATGAAGGCAATGGCATGCCCCCTCTGGACAAATCCTGTCAAGAAATGCCCAAGACAGGTTCACCTTTGACTCTCCATATGTCAGAAATAGCAAACAACCATTTTCACTGTCTCCCTAAGCACTCTAAAGACACCAGACCTTGTCTGAGCTTGGAAGTTAAATAGGTTTGTACTTATATGGGGACCATCAATTAATACCAGGTACTGTAGGGTAGGCTATGTTTCAGAGGAAGAAACTGACAAAATCCCCTCTGAGAAAACCCTATGAAATTCATGGAGGTGCCATAAATTGATAGGAGGCTTGAAGGTGTGTGCACACAAGCACACAATTTCCCCTATGCTTCACCAAGTGCTCTCTCTTTCTATCTCCTGGCAAATGTGCTTACTAGAACTGCAACACAATTTCATTTCTTTTTTATGAACGCAGCCTGCAGCACGAGGAAAATGGTATAAAATTCATGAAGCATTTCAATGCATATAAAGTCCCTATGAAACCAAAGGAAGCTTTTTGATTCCTGAGCAATAAAAACATGTTAACAGAGAGAAGAAATATAGGAAAAGGTGGGTGGGGATTTAGGGAGTGTGTTTTAATTGGGTAACTAATCAATGAAAGAAACAAAAATGTTAAGAACAGTATGATGACCAATTTTAATAACAGAACCATCTTACTGTACACAGCTGATTTGCTTTCAAGTTTTGCATAGAATTTTAGTTCCCCAAAGGGCTTGCTTGTGAAAATGCCACTTGACATTCCATTCACAGCAAAGGAAGAACCACTCTTTTCAACGATGGAAAAAAATTGTAATTAAGATAGATTCCTCACAAGCATGAATCCATAGTTCTAGTTTGTCCTCATACCCCATTATTTCACTTCATCCCAACACATTCTAACACACACAATGAAACAATGAAGTACAAGGCATCTTCCTCGCTAAATGTCGACACTTTTAACATTGTATAATTTAGGGAACGGAGGATGCATTTCCCCCTTCAAAAATATTTGCACCATTAGCAGGGTTAAAGAGGAGGCGCAAAATTATGAGACCTTCCATTGTCACTTAAGATAGAATTCCTAACTCATATTAGATCATTATTATAGCATTTATTTTTCAATACAAATGTATTTGCTTACCCTTAGAATGATCACCAAAACTGTAAGTAGCTGTTAAAGGGTATATACACTTTGGGGGGAGATCCTGTATTTCTTTAATAATAAAGAGTGCATTACATCATCATTATTTTTTTTAAATGAATGTCTCACTTGCGACCAGTAAAGTCTAATCCTGCAAACAACAAACTGTATAGGCCATTCAGTGCTAATCAAGGTGGCCAATTGAAACATTCACACCTAGCTCCAACAGACAAGAGTTCTTTCTCCCACCCTGGACATTCCACAGATATATAAACCCCACTTGTCCTAGTTTCCAACAGACCCCTCTGAGGATGCCTGCCATAGATGCAGGCAAAACATCAGGAGATAATGCTTCTGGAATATGGCCATACAGCCCGGAAAACTCACAACAACCCAGTATATATTAATCCTTTCATTACATCATCACTGTACATAAGCATTGCACAAACTGGAAATAAAACTCTTGCCTCCTATATCCAGTGTTTCATGATGCATAAAGATAGATTAAAACTTTCTTTCCCAAAGAATCTGCTGAGCATTTGTTTTCCCCAAAAGCAAAAATTAAACTAGTGTTTCCCATATGGCTTGCTTTCTCTCTGCACATTCAACGAAACATTTTTGCATCATGCTTCTCCACCATGGAAGCCATAAAAAGGCAAACTAATCCTGGAAGTAATATGAACCGATTCTCAACATAATCTTGACAGATGAAACAAGACAAATCCATCAAGAATGGTCTGCTGTCATATTACACATCTTGGAAACATTTTGACAACTAATATGCTGCTGGCAGGGATATTCTGGGCGTAATAGCCCTCACTTGGATATGTTCTGGAACTTGGAGGACTACACTTTGCCATTGTGTGCTGCTCAGAGAGCAGCGGTATCTCATCTTACCTGCCATTTTGGCAAAACAGGTATATCTGCCATCCCACCCACCATGGTGAAAAAGTGCTGTGTCTGAAAGGGAGCAGGCGGGTGAGCATGCGAAGCAGTACACTGGGGTGATCAATCAGGGCTAAGACTAAAGGTAAAGGTTTCCCCTGACATTAAGTCTAGTCATGTCCGACTCTGGAGGGTGATGCTCATCTCCATTTCTAAGCCGAAGAACCGGCATTGTCTGTGAACACCTCCAAGGTCATGTGGCCAGCATGACTACATGTAGCACTGCTACCTTCCCGCAGAAGTGGTACCCATTGATCTACTCACATTTACATGACTCGAACATCTAGGTTTGCAGAAGCTGGGCCTAACAGCCAGAGCTCACCCTGCTCCCCGGATTAGAACTGCTAACCTTTCAGTCAGCAAGTTCAGCAGCTCAGTGGTTTGGCCCGCTGTGCCACCAGGGAACTAAGACTATTATGCAATAAAAAGAAAAATACTGATTTGGGACCCCAAAATTAAAATGCAACTATTGTGTGGTGGCAACTATTGTGCGATGAAGTCTGGTATTTGCTGCTACAACTGTGGGGGAAGTTGGCATGGGTTCTGAATCTGGGACAGATCAGCTTGGCTGGATCTGTGGTGGGGGGTCTCCTTCGGGGGACGCAGGGGTCATGGGGCCATTGGAGGTCTTGAGTGGATGAGGCTTCAGCCACCTACACATTGCCCCCTGGTGGCATAAGGCCATATGGGGTGGGCTGCTCCCCACCTCAGTGGTCTCTCCCAGTAACCCCAGGTTATTCTGGCAGCTGGAGCTCATTGGCCAGCAGCAGGTTGTTCAATGCCCGGATCTGAACCCATTCAGGTGCCAAGCTGATGGCTGTAAGCAATGCAGTTGTGACCAATACAATTTCTATTTTTTCACATGTGTTTGCAGAGTGACCTCATGCTCGACCCCTCAAACAAACAGACCCTCTCCTTCTCTTTAACATTCCTAAGTATGCTTTCTTCCTACATTTTTAAAAGGAGAAGAAAAGATGTGTTGTATAGCATTAAGTGTTACCATCGACCTATCCACATGTCATAGCAAAATCCAGAATTCTGTCCCCAAAACTTCCTTTGACCTGTACATGAGTTTGACATATATATGAGTATACATGGTAAGCAAGAAGAGACAGAATATTCAGTGACTCCAAAAACACTATTACAGACAGGCTGAAAGATATTTAAAACAGATAAAGACAACTGGTTTCCAAAATTAAAATGCATAGCGTGCTTCTGTTCCCCCTTTTCAATGGTGATCAAAATGACTGGAAAGTCTAGGCTGAACCCTCCCCTGCATAAATCCAGATTATGTTTCCACTATCCCCACTTTTTCATTTTTTTTCTTAAGTACAAGTATTTACTTAATGAAGCTGGATACATATAGTTAACTTGCTCAATTTTACCATAACAGAAAATCTGTCCCTAGACTTTAAAAGTTAAGCATTAATACATTTCTAGTCACAATAAGCTAGGAAGGGAACCAAAGAAAATCTTTTGTTTGTAGGGCGCCATCGCCTGAAATAGACTTCACATATATATATATATATCTGTCACCAAGGGAATGTATAGCATTTAATAATCCTCTTATTTTTATTGCAGTCACACTGGGATAAAAATGAAAATGAACGGTCGGCATTCTGAAAAAGTCAATGTGATTTGTTTGTGATTTTAATTTGGTTTCTAAGAAATGGGATACAGTGAACAAGAGAGAATGCTTATTGTTTAGGAATATGTGCCTGCTTCAGTTCCTGAGGCTATTAGTGGAGGGATTATACTAAGATGCTATAACATTGAAATCTGCTGAAGAATGTCAGCTGTCTAAATTAATTAATATTCTCTAGTATATGAGAAGGCATTTCTAAGAGAAAGTCCAGGGGCTCCATCTTGGCTAGTGATAAAACTATAATTTTAGAGAATGCCCATATTTTTTTAATTTATTTACGACATCGATATTCCACCCTTCTCATCCCAAAGGGGACGCAGAGCAGCCTTACAAGTAGGCAACAATTCAATGCTGCATAACATACATTTCAATGCCTCATAGTAAAGGTAAAGATTTTCCCCTGACATTAAGTCCAGTCATGTCTGGGGGCTGGTGCTCATCTCCATTTCTAAGCCAAAGCACTGGTGTTCTCCGTAGACATCTCCAAAGGCATGTGGCCAGCATGCCTGCATGGAGCGCTGTTACCTTCCCGTCTGAGCAGTACCTATTGCATGTTTTTGAACTGCTAGGTTGACAGAAGCTGGGGCTAACAGTGGGAGCCCACGCCACTCCCCAGAGTCGAACTGGTGATCTTTTGGTCAACAAGTTCAGCAGCTCAGTGCTTTAAGTCACTGCGCCACCGGGGGCTCCTGATGCCTCATAACATTCGGCTAAAAAGAGATATTTGGCAAATGATGATTCTGCAAAAGTGCCCAAAATACTTTCTAATGCTTAGCAAATAAAGATAAAATATATCCTACATTCCACAGGCATTTTGTGCAAGTAAGAGATGATCCAAGGCATGCCTTCCTCTCAATTTGGAAAGGTTACTATTGGGCTAGCAAAGTTTTCTTGCCAGTGGCCATGCTGGCTGGGGGAGACTGGACTTGGACAGATCCATTTCCACCCTTCTCCTTCTCACCTTGATGTCTTCCTGGAGTAACACGCATTGGTGTGAATGCATCACAGAAGTTTTATTTTAGGAAGTAACCACCTAAAAGTAAATTTGGTTTTCAAAAGTTCCTTGATATTCAGGGGGGGGTGTGATCTGTTTTGTGTACCTGTTTCTTGGAAATTAATTAATGGCCAATTGAAGTCGATTTTTCACAACCTTTTAATAAAAACTTGATACTATACTTTGTTACTGGAAAGACAAAGTATCTTCAATGGATAGAAAATTTAACAATCCTTTCAGCATTTGAAAGAAATTTACAAATGGATTTTAACTTGGAGATTTGGTCAACTTTTGCAAGAAGTAATGCAAATCTGGTTATTTTTCTTCCGTTTATGCTTTTTATTTGCTGCTTTTGTTACATTGAAACATTACTATATAAACTGAGATTCTTGAGTTGAATGGAGGTTTTAATTCTAATGTCCACCCTCAGTTTTTCCACTCAACATTTAAAACTTTAGCAGCTCTGATTGGTTCACTGTCTCATGCCCATGTCAAGTCTGGTTTGAACCGAAAGCTGGGAATCTGTGGTGCTATGTTTTGCTTTTTCTTGTGGTAAACCACTAAGCCTAAAACTGGGAACATCTCTCTGGGAAGTAAAATCCTGAAACACTGGTTCTGCCCACCCAAGTTGGCAGGCATTGTCTCTCTTTTACAGGAAGGGCCGCAAAGACCTTCTTATTTAAGTTGGGACCTTGCCTGGACAATGATGGTTTTGCTCAACTTAACTATGTTTCTTAAGTTTCTAACTTGTTTCTTAAGTTCACCAGCTTAATCCCCTTTGCTTTTTCTTATGGTGAAACCTCCTGGCATGACCCTTTCCCAACTCCTGGCTACAGCACTATGGTTGTTGCTGACAGATAGTTCACAACTGATTATAGATTTCTGTGATCATTTTTCTGTGGTTATTTAATTAATTTTTTTTTGCTGCTAACTGCCATAGAGGCTTTGCAGACAAATGACAAGGTTTTTAATTTTATTTTCATGTCAGGAGTGACTTGAGAAACTGCTAGTTGCTTCTGGTGTGAGAGAATTGGCCATCTGCAAAGACGCTGTCTAGGAGCCGCCCGGATGCTTTGATGTTTTACGATCCTTGTGGAAGGCTTTTTAAAAAATGAAAGACTTACTTATTTTACATTATCAAATGCATCTACTGGAAAGTTACAGTTTGCTGAAGGAGCTTTAATACTCCATGTTAAGATATATTTTTAAGTGTGGTTTTAAAAAAGTTACAAAGGAAGAGGCCAAAGTAAAGATGCATGCCATCAATAAATTAGAGCATCCAGGCTCAGACCTGAGTCCAAAAATACACCCAAGTTGCAAACCTGAGATATCAGGAACAGCTTAAACCTCTATAGCTCAGACTGAATCCCTATTCCATGATCCTTCCTTCAACTGGCCAGGAATATCTTTGTCTTGCCAGGATTAACTGTCAGTTTGTTAATCCTTATCCAGTCCATTACTGACAGAAGGCATTGATTTAGTCCTGAAACACACCTTTATCCAGTTAATTACTGACAACAGGCATTGGTTTAGTTCTGAAGAGCTTTCCTGGTGTTACCGTATATATTCAGAGTGAGGAAAATTTGTGGGTCTCAAGATTATATTGGTTTTAAGTAAGAGTATCAGTTTGCATGACATCAGTAGGTAAAGTCACTCCCATTCTGGATTGCTCGCAAACGAATAGCCCAGAACTTCCTATCCAATTGTAATCAAAGAGAAGAAAACTTTGAAGAGATATCACATCATTGTGTGGGAAGGTTAGCCCTTTCCATAACAGGCCTCCTGTCAGAACAATTAAACTACAATTGGGCTTCTAAAAAGTCTCCACTAGCATCAGTTGAGGCATTCAAAAACGCATGAATGTTGCACAGGATGGAGAGAATTTGCATCCTGTTATCTCCAACCTAGGAACCCATGGTGATGCAATGGGTTAAACCCTTGTGCCAGCAGGACTGCTGACTGAAAGACTGCCAGTTCAAATCCAAGGAGTGGGGTGAGCTCCCGTCTGTAAGCTCCAACTCCTCATGTGGGGACATGGCAGAAGCCTCCCACAGGACGGAAGTCCCCTGGACAATGCTCTTGTAGATGGCCAATTCTCTCACACCAGAAGCAACTTGCAGTTTCTCAAATCTCCAACCTGTTGTTCAGAGATAGAGGTTCCGTTTAAAATGACAACGTGCTCCCCCTCTATGTTTCATCCACCCTAGCTCATTAACTTGAGCCAAAGTTATACATTACAGAAAATTAACAAGTTTATAGTTTGTTCTCCCAAATAACATTTGATAACACAAAATGCTGTGAGCAGCATCTTTTAGTAAAACATAAAGTTATTTTTGTATATTACTGCATGTCACACAGAGAGAGAAAATGGGATGGTTATTCATAGGGGTAGCTATGCATTTTCCACTTCTGATTTTGCCTCTGGAATGCAAGCTTTCTGGAAGGCAAGTTCTAGTTTTAAAATCCAAGATATATTACTTTATTTTTCCTACACCATTTAACATATGGATTGTGATAAACATCTCTGAAAGATCACCAGCTGCCTCTTTGCAACACATCCTTAAGCAAAGCAAATTAAACAAAGGAGCCATGTTTACATTTATCAGCCTTATTTTGGGGACACATTTTGCTCATTTTGTAGCTTAACCCTCTTCATTGGTATCTGGTATCTGCCACTCATTCTCTACTTCACAGATTGCTTTCTTTTTAATTTAGCACTAAATCATAGTTTGACACTACATGTCATCAAGACAAATCATGGCTTTTTCAAACCACAGTTAGCCAAGTTTTGATATTAATTACACAATCCAACACAGACCTCTATCACAAAACTAACAGTGAAATAGGAACTCCAGTCATAAGAAGGGACGGGAAGTACACAAAGCCAGTAGTCATTCAAATACTGCCACAACTATTCAAACTGTTATACCGGAACAGACTGGTACAGAATAACACTGCTTTAAAAAAAATCTGATTTGAACCAGTCCTTCTCAGTACTGAGTGAATCCATTTTATGCATTTGGATACATTTGTTAATTACCTTTTCTGCTATCATAAAATCATAGCGAAGAGCTTCTCGAGTACAAATAGCTCCCAGTAAAAAAACGAAGACTATGTACAGAAACCACCTGCAAATAAAGAAATATTCATATCAAGGAAGCCAGAATTATCAATGATTTTATGTAAATATTCAAACGTATATTGCCTCAAGATATACCATTATTCACTTCAGCAAAAATTATTTATAGTCGTGCCTGCTCTACTCTGAGGCTGGGAACATAAGATGTACCTGTTCTGTATAGTCCCTGGAGCATTTTAATGTTTCCTGGAACTTTGTATTTGCTGGCTTGGCAAAACAAAAACATATCTGTTTGAATCACCGCAAGGCTGAAAAAAGTGGGCTATAAATGCCATAAATAAATAAATGAATAAATAATGTTTTCACGCTTTTAAGAGAAAATACTCTTCAGTCTATGTAAACCACAATATTCCTATGAGAAATAAAGCTATGGATCACTACAAGTGTTGTTATTTTAGCTCTTGCTCACAAGCAATCAGTTACATAAATGCATGCAAACAAAAGATGAAATCAAAGGATCTTAGGGTTGGAAGGGGTCACAAGGACCATCTAGTCCAACCCATTCCCAAAGAATTACACAGTTTCAGAACAGAGTTTGGATGACCATGTAAAGACCTCAAAAGAAGGAGAGTCTACCACTTGAGTTTACGCTTTATATATTAGCTGGGCCTTGTCTTGCTTTGGAAATACTGTAGTAACTATTTATTGGGGCTGAAAAGTAATACTCTTGGGCCAAATACTTAATGTAAAATGTAGGGTAGAAGAAGGAAGTTGAAGTGAAATATACAAGTGGCATAATTTAGGAAGGGCATTTAGGAAGTGAGTCTGCCTTCTCTTTTTCCTTTCTCTCCATAATTGATCCGGTTAAAGCCTAAACTCACCTAAAACTTTTCTGTCTGCTCATGAATCAAATTTAAAGAAATAACACAGTTTTGTTTGAATTTTTGTGAACTGTAAGCCCATTAATGATTGCTTCTGACTTCTCTAACGCCAACCAAAAACCTCTAGGACATCTAGTTAACTGTTATTGATCTGGGAGGTAGCTCTCCAGTAAGACACAACTTCTAGGAACAGTGACAAGTACTAATCAAACAATTCATCAGTAAACTGAAGTGAATGACATAACACAAACCTCACTGTAGACCATACCTTATTATTGCATATCCATGAGATTTTATTCAAGAATTTTGAATAGAAATTGTTTTGCTGTGTAATTTTTCTTGGAATCTCCAATGGATGCAAGGAAAAGATTCAGCCTCAAGAGTTTCCTTCCCAATAGAAAATTGAGGAGTGGGAAGGTGTTTCTAAAAATGTTTTATATCAGCCCTGAGATAGGTTGGTTGCTTTGCAATCCCAACATATTTTCTGAACTAGAGGCAAATTTTGAAGACTAGAAGAAACTAATTCACAAATTAACTTGTTAAAGTATCCAGGGCAGAAGGCAGAGCACAGGGAAATTATTTTATTGCAAAACACCCCTCTGCATATCTTTAGCTTGCTAGAAAATTCTGGGAGTTGTAGTTCAAAAAATGGTTTTTCTTTTGGGATCCAATAGAATTTGGTACTGGTTGATTTTTGAACAGCTGCCATAGGCTGCCAGATTTAAAAAGGACAACTGGAATACAAAATTAATTCATCCCATTTACTAGTTACAGGTTTAGTATCCCTTATCTGAAGTACTTTTATTTATTTATTTCAAATTTTGGAATATTTACAATGTACATATATATAATGAGATACTTCGCAGATGGGACCCAAGTCTAAACACAAAATTTAGATATGTTTCATATGCATCTTATGCACAATATTTTTAACAATTTTCTCATAATACAAATTTTGTGCACACTGAACCACCAGAGAACAAAGGTGTCACTATCTCAGCCAGCCATGTGGACAATTTTCAATATTGGATTTACAAGTAAGGGATATTCAACCTACTCATGAGAGAAAGACTCCTATTAGGAGGGATTCACCACTACTACCCCTCCCCAAACCCATATTTTCAAGAGACTTACGAAATGCCTATGGCAGCCAGGGATCCTATAGGGATATTCTCTGCAGGTTTCCTGAGATCACCACTCATATTGAACCCAGCCATCACACCTGTATTTTAGGGCACACACAAAAATAAACATGATGTTATGTTAGATTGCTGTAAGACAGTAGCCTCTAAAGCGCACACACATCCACATCACGGGTGCATGTCCTGATATCAGTGCCATGTATACAAGCGTTGTGATTAAGCAGTCAGGTATCCAGTGGCAACAGACTACGAACTATCATGCCCACAAAGAAGTTCTTTGTTCCAAACTGGACAATGGTACTAGAAGGAAAGCACAGATTTAAAAACAACAACAAAAAGAGGTTTATCACTAAACTATCACTTGAAAGCAGTCCCTCTCCGAATGTCCCCTGACATTCAAGTTGGCACATCATTCAAACACACTATCCATCTCATAGGAGTACTTAATGCCATATGTATTGTAGGTCCAGAAATGTTCACAAGAAAATTCTTTTTACACATTTTTGTGGAACATGAGCCTTCAGGACAAAGAGTTTACCGCTTTATCTTTGATTATTCTTACCCACTCTCTGACATTTTGGCCAGAGTGGGCTCCCAAGGAAAAAAGAAAGAAAGAAAGAAAGAAAGAAAGAAAGAACTGTGAGACTGAGATTTTCTCAGCAAGCAGTTGTACATTCAATTGGTTATTCATGAGTCCCAGCATGCTCTAAGCCAAAACAGCACTTTCCAATGTTATCTATGGCAGACTAAAACCCAGTTTCTCACTATGAATCTTCCCCTGTCTTTCACCAAGACTCTATCTTGATTTGAGCATGTCTGAAACCAATCCAAGAAAGGATACCCAATTCAAAAGGATTGGACACACTAGATGCTTTTTATGTTGTCACATTCTGTAATAGCTTTCTGATGTCCCATCCCAGTCACAAAAACTATTAAATGCCACTCTTGTATCACTTACTCATTTGTTTCATATGCCGAAACCATTGATTCATATGTAAGGCTACAATCCTAAATGCACTTACCATGGAGCTCAGTGGGCCTTTATTGTTGTGATGTGCTTTAAAAACTGACTCTGACATATAGCAACCTCCTCATAGAGTTTTCATGGCAAAATCTGTTTGCCCAGGGTTTCCCATTTCCTTCATTTGAGGCTAAGAGAACATAATGTGCCCAGGGTCACCCACTAGGTTTCCATGGTCAAGTGGGGATTTGAATCCTGATTTCCTCAGGTTTTAGCCCAGCACTCAAACCATGCTGGTTCAGAGTGTCTTACTTCTCAGTAAATCTGCTCAAGGTTGCTGGCAAATCAACATTTTCAAGAAAATGGATTTGTGGGATACTTTCCCATAAACACATAGAAAAATCTGTGCTAGAGGAAATTGTTTATCTATGTCTGGAATTTAAACTATCCAAAATTTTATGGCAATCTTTCTGATCTAACTCAGTAAAAGCACCATTTTCCACACCCATAGGTTTGCATGCAGCTCATGCAATAGTCTAATTCCTTGGCTGACAGACCAATTTTTTGTCTACTACATTACAAAACATTTAGGAAGAAAGCCACACTTCCAGATGACTTCTTCCAATAGCTTCATGAAAATGTTTAAAATGTTTAAACATCTGAAATGTTTAAAATGCCTTTTGCAAAGAAAGGAGAGCAGCGGAGCCATTTGGGTTGTGTACCTGTAAAATAAAGTAGGAGTATGAAGCAACATGTCACACAATACCCATCAGCTCTAACTAGCACAACAAACCATGGTGGATGATGGAAGCTGGAGGCAATGACAATAGATGGTTACAAGTTGCCCATTTCTGAAATAAAACAACATCACTGTTGCTTACATTTTCTGAAGCATGAATGGTTTTTTATAATGACCTATAACTTTCAATACATTATTGTTTTTTTTCTCATTTCAGATACTGCATAGAAATTGTAAGGTAAAAGTAAAGGTTTCCCCTGACATTATGTCTAGTCGTGTCCGACTCTGGGGAATGATGCTCATCTCCATTTCTAAGCAGAAGAGCCGGTGTTGTCCATACACACTTCCAAGGTTATGTGGCCAGCATGACTGCATGGAGCGCCGTTACCTTCTTGCATAAGCAGTGACCATTAATCTACTCACATTTACATGTTTTCGAACTGCTAGGTTGGCAGATGCTGGGCTATCAGCAGGAGCTTACCCCGCTCCCTGGATTCGAACCACCAACCTTTTGGTCAGCAAGTTCAGCAGCTCAGTGGTTTAATCTGCTGTGCCTGCAGGAGGCCCTATGACGGAAGCTGTACTATTGTAAATTTACCAGTATTACATTCAGTCAATGCCCTTGTTTCAGAACTCTGCTCTATTTCATTTATTGACACAGCTTGGTGGGAGCTAGTTAATAGATTGCTTCTTTCATATCATCAGATTTAGGTGAAATCCAGATGAGTGTTGTTTTTCACTCTCCCTTTTGGTTGTTATTTGAGCACGCTGTCCCACATATGTGTGCGCGTGCACACACAAATTGGTACACTGGATTAATTTTGGAGTGAAAATCCTGCCTGTGTTCAGGAAACACACCACAACCACAAACGGCCTCTGAAAGTTCTTCTACCCATTTAATGGTAGAAGGAGAGAGTGTGTTTGCCCTTTGTGACTGGCTAGTTGGATGGAAAGAAGGGGCCCCATAAATATTGCCCCTTGCACAATGATGGTAAAAGAATACAAGTGCCCACATCACCCATGCATACGGACATTTATGACCTTGCCTCAGAGGTGGCATCAGGCTCAGCTAACAAAAGATATGTTTCCATAAAGAGTCCTGGATCCAGGATCCCCTTCTCCATGTACATTTGATATTTTAGAGAGAGTGCCATCTCGTCTCGAACACTCTCATCCAAATCTGATTTCTACTTACACTACTTCCTTCTAGTTGGCATTAAGCTTTAATGTATTTGCTTGCATCCATGCCAAAAGAGACTGTAGATGTATGTTTGGGAATTCCAAAGCCTTCCTGGGATTAACTGCTGGAAGAAACTGTTAGAAATCTAGGTCATCACACACCAAAGACTCTTTAAATCCACACTTCCAGGTGACTTCCTTCAATAGCTTCATGTAAATGTTTAAAAGCACAGGGCTCAGCACAGAATCTTGTAGGACTCCATAGACAGTGATGAGGAATGTATGGCATTCCATAAATTGCTGTCCTACAAGGTTGTATGTTCTGGTTGGCTTGATGGGAGATGCAGCCCAACAACAATGGGCTACACATTACCTGGCAAAAGGCCACAGCATCTAAAGCAAAACTAACCTGGCTTAATTCAAACATGCTGTACAATGCTGGTATGTGGATCACTTGTGCCAGAATCATGATCATGGCATCAGAAGCTGCTTAACAACTACTGCTTTTCATATCCATGTTGATGTAGCCATTGGCATTATGTTATACTGACTAAAAAGTAATCTAGACTCATGAGTACTTGTGGGATTTGAACACAAATAATAAGATGAAAGCAACACAAATGTTGTACTGACACATCGTGGGGGTGAGCAGTTCAGCCTAAACATTATAAATATATAGAAAGCAAAGAGGAAACCATTCTGTCATCTGCAAATAACACACTTAACATACACACAAAAACTGTATTCTGAAAGAGCATTTAAAATTACTGTTGGTTTTACTAATACTAACAAAGTAATAAATCAATAGCCCATTTGAAATAAATTATGCCTGTTAGTTTTGGCTTCTTTCCTAGTTGTCAAAAATTAGCAAGAGTGCGTAACCATTTAACAACATTAAGGATAATTTTTATGGCAGCTTCAATAAATATTCTTCCTTCTGGCCTATTTAGGATAAAGAGCAGCTGTGCTCTGGCATTAGATATGCCAGCCTGGATCTCTCCCTGGGTCTCTTCGCATTTCATTTTCATTTTATACTGATATTTTGCCTTTTTCTCCACAAAAAAAAACCACACACGACCCACATTCTTCTGGAAATGTTACCTGTTTGGGATTATAAATATCTGAACCATGGCTCTGGGGACTGTGAGATTTGGACAGATATATTCTAAAAAGTAACACTTTCGATCTCTGTCACATAGTTTCCTATCAAGATGCTGGTCAGTGACAGACCTATGTAACTTTGATATGATTACTTCCATTGAACCCCTGGTGGTGCAAATTGCTAATCCCTTGTGCCGGCACGACTGAAGACTGACAGGTCAGAGGTTTGAATCCTGGGAGAGCACAGATGAGCTCCCTCTGTCAGTTCTAGCTCCCCATGCAGGGACATGACAGAAGCCTCCCACAAGGATGGTAAAACATCACAATATCCAGGTGTCCCCTGAGCAATGTCCTTGCAGATGGCCAATTCTCTCACACCGGAAGCGACTTGCATTTTCCCAAGTCGCTCCTGACACGAAAAAAATGATGCACTATTACACATCTCCAACAATTCACAGATGAAAACATCTATGGCCAAGCAACATCAGAATATGGTCAAGATGGTAAAAGTTACAAATTAGGAGGAATATACCAACTGAATTTACCTGAGCCTATTGCTGAGTTGATCTGAGCTCAGTTCTCAACCAATGAAGTAAACTAAGGACAGAGAGGGTACAGGAGGGGAGAGAAAAACTGGGACATTTTAAAAGCAGCTGCAAAAGTGGGATGGCAAAGGGTTATCTGAGACCCTCCCTTTCAAAAGAAAATAGTTGGAGGGACTGTTGAGGGGTGTGTTATTACGGTTTGTAGGTGTTCACTTATACAGATTTTGTGCACCCATTGTACACCCAAAACACAGCAATATCTGGCTACACTGGATACTTCCTTAGCCTGCTGATGCAATATCTGTATTTGTTTTTAATGTTTACTGATTAAGTTGTTTAACTTCCTGTATTTATTATGTTTATTTAGTTTAATCCTTGGATTTGGCTATTTATAAGTTATATTTAGTTTATTTTATTTCATGTTTTGTTTTGATTGTTGTTTATTTGCTTTGGGGCATTAAATGTTTGCCATTTTTGTTATTTCTGCAAACCACCCTGAGTCCCTTGACTTGATGATTATTTCTTTCTCTCTAGATATTGGCATAGTTAGCACTG